TCCCCGCGCCGGTCCCTGGCGGCGCCTCGGGGCTCGACAGCGGGGAGCGGGGACTCGGAGGGGCGGGGAGGGGAAGCAGCGGGTCCCTGCGGCCAGCCTGAGGGGCGCCGGAGGCAGGACAGGGTGGCCTTCGGCGGGGGGATACTCGGGGCTCGGAGGACCCCAGCTGGCCCCGAGCTGCAGAATGGGGGCTGCAGCCTTGGGGCTGGGGGGCTTCCCGGGGTCAGGCCCGGGCCCCCCGGATGGAGCGAGCGAGGCTCTGAGGGAGGCAGCGGGGAAGGCGAGCACCTCCACCGAGCCCTTTATCCCTCCTAGCGGCCTTCACCCTTTCGCTGCCAGGCCAACAGCGAGCTCCTCTCGAAGGAGCAGCTGCTAGACAGCTGGCAAAACAATGGAGACCCCGCTTCCCGGGCCCCCTCCCCGTGGGACAGAAGATGGAGGGTGGGCGAACGCAGGCTTGGGGGATTATTAAGGAATGCAGGCCGTCCCCTGTGACTGGCTGTGCACCTCACCTTTCCCTGCAGGGGGTGGGGTGTGTGTGGGAAGGTCGGACAGCCTGCCCCAGGCCTCTGGGAGCGACCGATCCGACGCCCCGCCCTGCTAACCTGTCATGCCAGTTGTTTCGCCAATGGAAGGGGAGGTGGTAGGGTCAGCTGCCCCCACCCCTCTCGGTGCCAGGGGAGCACACAGCTTGGTACCATGTCTGGTGGGGAGTGGGTTACGCTCTTGCCTGAGATAAGGCCTGCAGGGATACACCGTATATTGGGGCCTTGTTTTGGGGGTGGAGGTGAGGGTGTTGGCCTGTTCCAGTGCACATGTATCTTGCTGATTAGTTGGAAAGACTGCTGCCACAATGAGCCAGAGACGGGGGAAGGCAGGGAGGGAGACAAGCAGTTTGTTTTTTAGTTGGTACTCATTTTGACTGATTACTTGGTCAACAGGGCATGTATTTGGTGGTGGCCTTGTAGTTTGTGTTTGTTTGGGGAGGGTGGAGAGGCTGCTTTTTTGAGGAACTCTCTAGCTAAGACCTTTGTGTCCTCGAATCATCCCCCAAAATGATAGAATTGGGTGAGTTCCTACCCCTTTCACTTTGCCAGTGACTAGGGCTTGTTTGGGTCTTGTCGCCTGGTATCCCTGGCATGGCTGTGGCAGAGGCAGTCCTGTAAGCGTCCTGATGGCAAGGGCACTGTGGAACGCATGTGTGTTATGTGCTGCAGCTGTACTGGGAGGGTACGGTCACTCCAGTGACTAAGGGCAAGATCACCTTGCAGAAACACTCAGTCTAGAGGACATTGAATCAAGCTGCCTTGCCTTATCCTTACCAGATCTGGAGTCCTTTTCCTGAGCAGGTTGGTGTCCTGTTGTCATGGCAACGAGCCTGGCCTAATGTTCCCCACCCTTTCTGGTTCGGGGCTACTTTCTATTTGGGGATGTTGAAAGTTGCTCTCCTGAGGTCTCTGGCTTCCTGACAGGCCTTGCTGGCTCTTTGTCAAAGGCCTGCCACCTCCTCAGCTTCCCTTCTGTCCTTTTGTGATGAGGCTTTCCAGGAAACATCCTCCTGCTTGCTGGACATGACTTGCCTGGTTATATATAGCCTTGGGTGGAGGTATACTTGTCCATTTAGGATTGAAGACACTGGGAACGGGACCGAAATTTCAGGAAGACAATGGCTTTGGGGTGGGCTGTTCTGTTGGGGGAATTAGGGAAATGAGAAGGGTGGAAGGTGAGAGTGGGAGAGGTCAAAGGCTGATGGTCATTTCCTTTTGGAGCTTTGAACTTTGGACAGTTGATGACCAGGTACCTGGCAGCTCTGGGTATCTAGTTTGTTTAATCTCCCATGGCCTGGCTCAGCTGCCAGGGTGTGTATCTGAGGGCTTCCTCTGCCCCAGGCTCTTCTCAGAAGCCCTCATGTGGATTATGGCCTTACTAACCCCTGCTTGCTCTTAGCCCCACTCCAACCTGTTACCTGGAGCCTGCGTCATTGGCTCTGCTTGAGACTGCTCATGGGGGGAGGGGATGGCATATATTTTCAGAAGTGGGTCCTGAAGACTGTGGGGTCCCCAGAGGCAGGTACCTAAAGCTGGACGAGGTGGGGTATACCTAGGACTTACGTGAAAGGGAGAGCCCTCCCTAATGGGGTGGAGCATGGAATCCTTGGGACACCAGAAGCTCCACCCAGACTTGATGGGTCACAGGTCTCCAGGGCAACAAGGCCACTCCTGCTACTTCAAAAGAGGTCTCACCTGGAGTGGATGCCATAGACAGGAACAAGAACATCCATGTAAGGTGGGTCTTGTTGATGGCCCGGGGCTCCAGACCTTGTCCCAGACCTGTTCTGGGTGTGATGGGTAAAGCTGAGGGGCTGGGGCCTGGTTTAATTTAAAGATTTGATGGGACCCAGTGTGTACTGTGATTGACCGTTTGTTTCCTTTAGGACTCTGGATAGGGGTTTGATGGAGAGTTTTTAAATTCTGGTTTGGGCTAGGCCCTGGGGTACTTAAAATCTACACCCTACACCCCTCCCCAGCACCATTTCCTTTTCATTTTACCCCGTTTTTTCATTTTGGGGGTGTAACCGAAATTGGAGGGTGAGTTGGTGGGAAGAAGAAGATTGGTAGGGGTGGGGCAAAGACCTGGCCAGACTCCACTTCCTCCATCCCCCTCACTTCCCTGTCCTTTGTGGAGGGAGGAATTGTGTGGCTTGTAAATTACCCACATTCCCTTGACATTTGGTTTAAAGTCAGACAGCAGTTTAAGTTGTTGAACTATTGATTTTCCAGAGTCTGAGGCCCATTCTCTTTGCAGGTACTTCATCATCACTTACAAGGGATTATTTTTCGTATTATCTGGTATTCAGAGCTGCTGGATGATGGGTTCAAGGTCTCACAGCACGTTGAAGGCAGAGCATGATTAGAATCTAGTTTGCGGTAGACAGAATACCTCTCCTGCAAAGGGTTGGGGCCAGGCCTGCTCTTTGGGGCCTTGGAGATTTATAGTTGATAGAGCAGAGGCTCCGGAAGAGAGAGGACTTGCTCAAGGTCACATATGTGCAAGGTGGCAAATGGCCTGGGCCGCTGTGGCACAGCTAGACTGTGGGCGAGCTCCGCTTGGGGCTAAAGCTGCACCTGGAAGAGCCGGAGGGTCCCGCAGGGCTGCGGGCATTCTCCCGCTCTCATCCTCCTGGGACCGCAGCCTGCTGAGTTCCAGGAGAGACGCAGTCTGTAGCAGGAGGCACCTCGGGGCTGCCTTCTGCCAGGCCTCTGGGAAATGCGGAGGGCTGCCTGGGCTCCCGGGCTGCAGCAGGCGGGCGGGCTGGTTGGTGTCATGTGAGAAGTGTGCAGCAAGAGCAAGCGAGCACACCTGGAGCCAGATAAGCTCCGTGTGACCGGGCCGCGAGTCACGCGGTGCTGTGGAGCTCCGGAACCGGCCAGCGGGAGCAGACTCTATGGTGACCCGCCACGCCCCCTGGGCCACCCGGGCCGGGAGCTGTGCGACCCCACAAGGCCGCTGTGCTATCCCTGATGAGGGCCCGGAGGGGCCTCAGGCTCTAGGGAATTGGCTGCGCTGAGAGGTCAGAGGCCGAGGGAGAGAGGCCGGCTCCCTTGGGAAAGTATTTCCTTTGTATTTATTTATGAGTGTGGTCTGGGGGTGGGGTGCAGGACAGTCCTAAGTATCCGCCCGGCAGCCAGCTCCGGGCACCCTTGTCTTGGGATGCTAATGTAGTTTCCATTTCCTGGGGTTTTTGCTTTGCCAGCTGCAGGGTGACCCATTTAAATCTGCCCCTACTTAAAGCCACGGGACAACAGTGCGTCTCCTAAACAGGTCCCCCAAAGGACAGGAACTTTTTCAAGACAGGAGGGCAACTCAAGCCTTATACTGACCATTACAACAAACCTTTATAAACCTTGTTTATAGCTTTTATGCTCATGGATTGCTTACTACTTTGTCAAAACCTTTCTTTCTTCCTTCTGTCCTTTTTCTTTCTTCCTTCCATCCTTTTTCTTTCTTCATTCCATCCTTCCTTCTTTCCTTCCTTCCTTTCTTCCTTTCTTCTCTCTTTCTCTCCCCCTCCCTCCCTTTTCTTTCCTATCTTTTGTTTTCTTTGTGTCTGTCTATCTTAAAACTAAAGTAGTAACACATGCTGGAATAACGTTGAATCATTAGGAAGTGTTTCCTGTAGCCCCCTACTCCCCAGAGATAACCAAATAAAGTTTTGTTTTTGGTACTGGGGATTGAACCCAGGGCCTTCACATTGAAATACACCTGTTTTGAAACAGGGTCTTGCAAAATTGCCCCAGGTGAGCTCAAATTTGCTATCTTCCTGCCTCAGCATCCCAGAGTGCTCAGATTACAGTGCTCAGATTACAGGCCTGCGTCCACTTGCCTGCTTAGTTAAATTTTTGTAATGACTCTTTACAGACTATTTCAAAAGCTTATAAGTCTAGAATGCATTATATAGTTATAGTTAACTATGTTACATTAAAATATCATTTAATATAAATATTAAGATTTTTTTTCCTCTGGGAAATAAAGAGTATGTAGAAGAGTAGATAAAAAATTACAATAATCCCACTGCTCAGATGCACACACACCTACCAGCTGAATAGTCATTGTAAAAACTTAAAATCATCTAGATAAATCAGAAATCTGGTTTGACTTTCTCAAATCTCAATTTCCTCCTCAGAGCAAAGATTTCTCTATGGATATGCAAATATTATATGTAAGTTACATGCATATATTCAGACACACAGTTTTTTAAAATTTAGCAATTTTATATACGATCCTGCAACTTGCTTTTTTCACTTATAATATAACATGGTATGAATTTTCCAGGTCAGTATGTATAAATCTCCCTCATTCTTTCTAATAACTGCCTACTTGTCCTATAAGCTGTTTCTGTAGTAATTCATACTCAACATTTATATGTTTGCCATTATGAACAATGCTACAAAGATTAGCTATATTTCCTGGGTGAATATATGATAAATGACCTATAAATGGAATTGCCTAGTCAAAGAATATATACAAAATATTTTCATAGACATTACCAACTTGCTTCTCTAAAAGATTACACCACTGCTTTATTTGGCAGCACATAACACTAAAACTAGAATGGTACAGGGAAGATTAGGATGACCCCTGTGGAGGGATGACATGCAAATTCCTGAAGCATTCCTTATTTTTATAGTAATGACCACATGGCCTTCCTGCTGTTAAAAAACAAACAAGCAAACAAGTTAAAAAAGCACATGGTAGTTTTTATTCCCACCAACATATGAAAGTCCCTGCTCCCATCCCCTAATTGATTGATGATATCCCTCTTGAAGGTTTTTACTAAATGGCTAAGTGAAAGACAATCTATGCCTACTTCACATGTCTGTGAATATTACTGAGGCTGAATACCTATTCATGTTAGTTAGCCATTTGTATGACCAAATGTATACATTGGCTGGCTGTACCCTTGGCAATAACTGTGGGGGGCTTTGGACCCAAACCAGTAGGATCCAGCTTGGCTATGTGCTTACTGAATTGGCTTCACTGCTTTGGGCTTTACTTTTCATATACAAAGGTCTGGACTTATTTTCGTCATACTTGTGTTGATGGTCTTTTGTGTACTTTCTTTTCAGCCATTCCCATATTCCCATTTAGGTGGCAGAGAATATGCCTTGCCACTGTCAGTTACTTTTCTTGAGAGCCTACCATGGGCTAGGAATTGTAACAAAGGCATATATATATATATATATTTTTTTTTTCATTTAATCCTCATTATTTATGTGGTAAGTACTGTTATTTTGTCCATTTTACAGATGGGAAAATGGAGCTATACCACGTCTTTAAGTGAATTGCCCAAGACTGCATAGCTTTGGTATTAATTCAGATTTGTTTCCAGGTTTGTGACCTGACATTCAAAGCCTGAGCTGTTTCACTAGGCTTATTTGCCTTTACATCCCTTGCATATAGAAGTGCTTAGTAAATACACATTTTTTCTTACCATTTTATCACAGAAGATCTGCAAACATTCAGAGACATTAAAGAATTTCACAGCCAATATTTCTACCTAATAGCTTTAACAATTATTTTCCTGTCCTGGCTTTATCCCATTTTAATGCCTTGATCCATCCATGAAGCTGTCTTAAATTTTTGACAAATTTAAGTTATTCAAAGTAAATTGTAGCCATCAGTAAACTTCACCCCACATTCTCTGGCATATATATTATTAACTAGAGTTCACTATTTGTTTACAGTTCTTTTTTCTTTTGAGTAAATGTTTATACTAAAAAAATGCACAAATCTTATGTACACTATTTGATGACAGTTGGCAAATGAATGTACTTGTCAACTCAAATCCGTATCAGCCTGACCCCAGAAAGGTCCCCCATGCCCTTTCTCATGCATTCTCCAAGGGTGACCACTGATACATATCCGGATAACCCTGATATTTTTCACCATAGGTTAATTTTGCCTGTACTCGATCTTCATATAAATAGAATCATACTTCACAAAAATAGGACCATGCTAGAACCATAAATAGAATGTATACTTTCTATGATTATATTTCCCATTTTTGTCATTATAGTTCCCTCTTGTTTCAAGTAATGTTTTGGGGATTCATTTTTGTTGTTGTATATATCAAGTTGTTTCATTTTATTGCCAAGTGGTATTTCATGGCCTAAATCTGTAAATTGTTTATTTATTCTCGTGGATGGACAAGCAGATATGTACTTGAGCTGAATGGTCTTGCCTTCGAGATGCTCTCTGTCTTGAAGAGATAAAGCAGCTGAGTTGACAGATTGTGCTTTGTTTGGCTTTGAAGATAGGATGTTCCAAATAATTTAAGAACATATCATAATTTACTTACATGCTTTTCCTTTGGTTAAAATTAGGAAAGGCTTCCTGGAATAGGAGGAGGAGAGAAAGGCAGAGGAAGTGGTCAGAAAGTCTAAAGGCTACTTTCCCTGGAATGAAGAGTAAGAGAAGAAAGGGAGGTGGAGGGAACTGCAGCCTGGAATGGAGATTGGGGAGATGGTGGTTCCAGAGACTTTGGACCTGAGGACAGGAGATGTTGGCAGGTTCAAGGTCTACACGAAGATGATAGAGCCCAGTTCGCTAGTTAACTGAGGGTTGAGGAACCTAGGAGAAGAAGCAGCTGCAGCTGCTTTGCAGATCTGGTCCCACAGGGAAAGGGGTTGCAGGCATTCTACAGCCAACCAGACCTGGTGGGATGGGGATGGCAGAGGGAAGGGTGTCTTGTAAACTGCAGATAACAGTGGCAGGACAGGAGTGGTGAGGGAAGAGCAACATTGCTCGGTCTCTGAAGGCCCCAGGGTTGTGATGAGAAGGATACTTTTGGCAAAGTTAGTAACTTACCTGTGTCCATGAGAGCTTGTATAGTTGGAATTTTAGAGCTAGAAGAGGCCTAGATCATCTAGTTCAACCTTGAGCAAAATGACAGGTAAGATCCCCCAATGATTTGTTGGCAGATCCAGGGCCAGATACCTGATCGTCTAAAGTTTCCAGTGAGTACCATTTCCTGGGCCACTGCTGTGATAGTCTGCTGTTCCTGCCTACTACAGTGACACTGAGGGACAAGCTTTTGTTGAGACAAGAATTTATGTAAAATTTCTTCTCAGAGACCTTTCTAGCTCAATGATTCTACAATTCTGGGAGATGTTTTCCACCGATACTGCTCAGCTATCTTAACTCCAGCAAACAGCTACGATTGAGTAAGGGTTGCAAAATGAGAATTAGGAACCTTGATGGTACAGCACAGTAAGCAGTTGGGTTCTCAGTGGTTAGACTAAGGCTGCCATATTCTTGTTTGTTCCCTCAATCCCCACCCCACCCCCATTTTCCCTTATAGTTACCCCGGAGCCATCTTCTAAGCCAGTCCTTTAAGATAGTATAGGTAATAACCAGCCAAAGATCCCATGTCCTGATATATGAGCTGTTTGTACCATATTTCCTGAACATGCAAGAGAAGAGAGGCTCCCTCTATCAAAACAGGGCTCTGAAGAGAGGATACGGGCTGTCAGGCACTCTCCCATTCCAATTCAGTCCAGACCCAGCTGGCCAAGACTACCCAAGGCTATACAAGCCTTTTGGACTTTAGACTTCCTGCCTTCAATTCCCAAGGAGCATTCTTGGAGCATTTACAACCAAGAACTTCAGAGGGCACTTTGTTATACCAAGTACAATCTGGAGTCAAAGAGGGAAAGAGGTTCTTTCTACATCTACAAGGAGCCAGTGACCTGGCCAGATTTCCCACCTCTTTGGATGTGCTCAACAACTAAAGAATTTCCCAGGCCTGCACTGTTCAGTCCAATAGCTACTAGTCCCACGAGGCTTTTGAATACCTGAAATGTAGTTAGTCTGAATTGCAAGGTGCTCTAAGTATAAAATATACACTGAATTTTAAACACTTGCCATAGAAAATTGTAGAATATTGTAAAATTTTTATGTAATTACATGTTGAGATAGCAATATTTTGGATATACTGCATTAAATAGAATATATGATTAAAGGGGTTTTTTTGATTGTTTATTTTTGTTTTGAGACAGGTTCTGTCTCATGTTGCCCGGCTGGCCTCAAATTTGCAGTTTTCCTGACTCATTCCTTCCTGTTGGAATTATAGGCATGTGCCATTGTACCTGGCTTTCCTCATATCTTTTTATCATCCTTTTTGATGGCCACTTTTCATTTACAATTACATATATGATTTGAATTGTATTTCTTATGGACAGTATTGCTCTAGAAAAAAGATGTGTTGGTCTGCCGGGAACCACAGGGGTCAGGATTCTGAGCAGAGGGGAAGCAATTAGCCAGTGCACAGGGGCCCTTGGAAATCCTGGTCTTAATGCCTTCCTGGGCATTGTACCTGGGTTTTCGAGTCCCTCTAAGTGGAATGAGGATCCTGGAGGGCACTGCTTGGTTGTAGGGGTGGGGTGCACAGAGAGGAAATGCCTTTCCAGGGCCTGGCAAGAGGCTATTGCTAGAAAGTGTAAGTTTCTTTTTTTTCCGGTACCAGGAATCGAACTCACGACCTCGCGCTTGCCAGGCAGACACTGTGCCACTGAGCTAAATCCCCACCCCCTAGAAAGTGTAAGCTTATAGGTCCTGTGTTTGGAATTCAGATGAGGAAGCTTTCACGGACAGAGAAAACATTACAGTTAATTTCTTCGTTTTTGTTTTTTTTTTTAAATTTTTGAGACAGGGTTTCACTATGTAGTTCAGGCTGGACTTGAACTCACTGTGTAGTCCCAGCTGGCCTCAGACTTGCAGGCAGTTCTCCTGCCTCACCCTCCCAAGTGCTGAGATTACAGGTGTACACTACCATGCCCGGCTACAGTTAATTTATTTTTCTTTTTCTTTTTTGGAGACAGGATCTCGTTGTGTAGTTCAGGGGTAGCCCAGGCTGGCCTTAATCTTGTGGCCATCCTCCTGCCTCAGCCTCCTGAGTGCTGTGATTATAGGCGTGTGCCACCATGCCCCGCCTACAGTGAATTTCTAATTAAATGGCATGGCCTACTTCTTGTTTCCTGCTGGTTAGAAAAAGAAAGGCACTCTGAACTCTATTCCCAGTTCTACCCTTAATAGTGTATGTGTGTGAGTTAGGGTAGATTAGCACCCTAGGTACACACTCAGGAGCTGGCGTTTTCACACAGGCTGCCACAACTTTCTTCCTGAGGCTATATTTAGCTGTTGATCTGGGGAAAAGGATGTGATTTTTTCAGGATCCTGTTTATCCAGCAGACCCCACCCCACCCCCACCTCACAGCTGTCTATCCTCTGTTCACTCTGGAACTTCCCCTTCCTTCCCTCCCCGCTCACTTTGGACACCCAGGCTCTAGAAAGGACAGAGTATTTGCTATTGAAACTCAGCACATCCACTTAATTGCTGGGTAACACCTAGCGTATCTTTACCTTTCTGAGCTCCTTTTTCTTGTTTGTAAAGATAATGATACCTACCTGGCAGGAATGCCATGAATGTTGAATGGGATGGTGTATATGAAGTGCCTGATACTAGACCTGGTAAGGGAAAGCCAGTACATAACTGTTGGGTCCGCCAAGATCTTCAGTGAAGCAGTGGATGAGGCTGCTGCTCTGGGAATGCCAGGTGCCTAGTAGTATGAGATGCATTGCTTCAGTGGACTTGGCGGTGGGGAGGTGATGGTGTACAGAGTCCCTTTTCTTTTCCTCTTGTGTTTGAATCTCAAGTTGGGTTCCAGGATGGCTTGATACTTCCTCTTGCCAACAGGTCAGCCCTCTCCAGGGACACCTAAGCCTTGGTCTAAAGGATTAAATTAACTGAGATAAATATGTGTAAAGCATAGTGCCTGGGGGCTGGGGGTTTATCTCAGCGGCAAAAGCGCCTGCCTGGCAAGCGCAAGGTCGTGAGTTCGGTTCCCGGTACCGGAGAAAAACCAAAAAAAAGCATAGTGCCTGGTACATAACTAGCACTAAGTGAAGAGTGGGTGGTCTGTTAGTTGGTTATGTGTGGAATGAAGACACAGGGAGAGGGTCTGCTGGAATAATCTCTCTTTCTCTGTGGTTCTGTTTGCAGCAGCAAGGTGAGATCCAAAGGCCCTGTGCTAAGCACCCATAATCCTCTGGGGGCACCACCCCTAAAAACAGCATCCCCACCATGTTTAACCTAATGAAGAAAGATAAGGACAAAGATGGTGGGCGGAAGGAGAAGAAGGAGAAAAAGGAGAAGAAGGAACGAATGTCAGCGGCAGAGCTAAGGAGCCTGGAGGAGATGAGCCTACGCCGTGGCTTCTTCAACCTAAACCGCTCCTCCAAACGTGAGTCCAAGACACGCCTGGAAATCTCCAACCCCATCCCCATCAAAGTGGCCAGTGGCTCCGACCTGCACCTGACTGACATTGACTCCGACAGCAATCGGGGCAGTATCATCCTGGACTCAGGCCACCTAAGCACAGCCAGCTCGAGCGATGACCTCAAGGGAGAGGAAGGCAGCTTCCGGGGCTCTGTGCTGCAGCGGGCAGCCAAGTTCGGCTCGCTGGCCAAGCAGAACTCACAGATGATTGTCAAGCGCTTTTCCTTCTCCCAGCGTAGCCGGGATGAGAGTGCCTCGGAAACCTCAACCCCCTCGGAGCACTCTGCTGCCCCATCACCGCAGGTGGAGGTGAGGACTCTAGAGGGACAGCTGACGCAGCACCCTGGCTCAGGCCTCCCTCGGCCAGGGCCCCGATCTCGAGTCCCTGAGCTGGTGACGAAAAGGTTCCCAGCCGACCTGCGCCTTCCCCCAGTAGTCCCACCACCACCCCCTGCCCCCCGGGAGCTGGAGCTGCAACGAAGGCCCACTGGAGACTTTGGCTTCTCCCTTCGGCGCACAACCATGCTGGATCGGGGACCTGAAGGCCAGGCCTATCGGCGAGTGGTTCACTTTGCTGAGCCTGGTGCAGGCACCAAGGACCTGGCCCTGGGCCTGGTGCCAGGAGATCGACTGGTGGAGATTAATAGGCACAATGTGGAGAGCAAATCCAGGGATGAGATTGTAGAGATGATCCGGCAGTCTGGAGACAGCGTATGGCTCAAGGTGCAGCCTATCCCAGAGCTCAGTGAGCTGAGCCGGAGCTGGCTGCGGAGCGGCGAGGGACACCGCAGGGAGCCAGCTGATGTGAGTGCTTCCCTGGGTACCAGGGTGAATCGGGATCAGGAACACGGGCATCTCCTGCTGTAGTATAGATGGATGCCTGGGGCCCCCTGAGAGCTGTGTTTAGAGCCTAGTAAGCAGGAAGCAGGTAGGCCATGCCACTTCCTGGGCCTGTAATAGAGAACAACCTTAGGGCAGGGTGCCCTGTATCAGATGTTCATTAAAGGAGTCACACCTTTGAACCTGAAACTTGTCAAGGAGCTGAGAACTCACAAAGGTTCACTGGGGTTGAGTTCTCAGAAGTTTATCCAGGCTTCCTGATCTGATGTCTTCCTCCAGTATTCTGATGGGTTGACTTAATTGAATTCAGCATAATGTCTTTTTCATGGGTGTTGAGGAAGACCAGGTTCTGCCTGAACTTTAGCTGCGTCCCAGGAACCCTGAGGAGCGGTTTCATGTTGGTGGATAATTGCTGTGAAAGTGTTCAGCTTCATGATACGAGGATGGGTTAGGGATTTGGATGTCATATTACCTCGGCCCTAAATTGGGCATGTAGGCTAATGTGTCATTTTGAGATATGACAGACGATAAGAACACTGAAGTATAGGATTTCCGTGTTACTGTTTAGATCTCAGAGGTGAAAAAATGACAGATGATTTTAAAGCAGAGCTTCCATGGAACATCTTGGGTATAGCGCCATTGTGGTTACGGTTTGGGGGGAGATCCTCCAGGACTTCCTCTTGCCCCTAAATGAGTGAAGTGGTGAATCCCAAGTGAAATCTGAGAGATGGCAGGGGCTGTCATGGAGGATCTTGTGAATCATGGCTAGAGTTTGTATTTTATCCCAGTGAAATGGGACTGTTCAAAGGTTGAAGGAAAAAAGTGACTGGGTCTGATTTATAAAACTCATTAGGCTCCAAGAAGAAAAACTGTGGTTCTGGGAAAGCAACAGAGATGAAACTTACTCTTGGTCAAACCTCAGAGTATGTCCTGACCATCCCTAACATCCCAGCTGTGGTCCTGCTCACACAAAACTTCAGTAGGAGAGATTTAGATCAGGTACAGATACAAGTCTATATGGTGAATCAAGACCTCTAACCCCAGGGATCTTTTGCGAGGAAGGGACATAGTTTGGAATGTCCTGCCTAGTGACGGCATAAGAAAGACGTGTTGACCTCTGGCCACTCTTCCTCCCAGCTGTGGGTTTTAGGACTGTCCGATTTGGGCTCTCACCAGTGCACAGCCTGGCTGGGACCTTTCAGCACTAACTGATGAGCCAGATGTATCAAAGTCAGAAAGGGGAGGAAGTGCTGAGGAAGCAGGCAGAGTCTGGCTTTCAGCTGTTTCCTAGGGAGAGGAAGTAGACACTCAGGATGAGTGTTCAGCGTACAAGAATATTGGGCCTGGAGGGGTCAAACTCTGGCAGGATGTTATGGACTTGGGTTGCAGGCCTTTCTTTCCCTTAGGGGTAGATGGCTTTTGCAGCTTTATGACCAGGAGGGATAGTGAGCATGAAGGAGCCTGCACAGAATCCAAGAAGGACCTGGACTCATTCATGGCAGACATACACACTAAGCACCTGCTGTCTGTTAGCCACCAAGCCAGGATGCACTCAGAGATTCACAACTTAGAAGGGGAAGAAAAAGGGAGGAACCTTATCTCAGAACCAAAAGTCATAAGATTGCTGCCATGTCTGGCTAGTTTCTCCCAGGCTAACATTGCTTTGAATAGATGGAATGTTTTTCTTAAAGTATGAATCCCCCAGGATATTGTTTTCAGTTCCCTACTGAACTATCAAAGTTCTGTGTATCTGATGCCCTAGCATCTCAGATACCATTTGGTTTTCTCTTTATAGCATAGGGATCCTCCTGGCATCTCACATTTCCTACCCACTTGCCCTTCCCAACTAGCTGCTGCTATCCCATCCCCCGGAAAGTGGATAGTTTAGCTTTGGAGGTGCTGATGGGAGTCTGTGTTACAGCTGGTATCTCTGAAATGCTGGCTTGCTCTAGTCCCCATGGGGCAAGCCTAGATGGTACTCAGAGGATTTCTCCCCCAGGCCTTAGCCTGGTGGATCCGTCAGGGAACATAGTAAAAAAACCACATCCTGTGTGCCTCCTGGAGTAATCTGGTAGCACGTGACACATAAGGCTGAGAGAAGCCCTGTACCTTTTCCCACGTGGGTAGTGGTGGGGACGTATGCCATAAGCAGAGAGGAGCATGGTGAGCGCAGCATTTCTAGATTCGTTGCTCAGACCCTGGGAGCTGGTGCGGGTGGGTTGTTGCAACCTTTCCAGCAGCCGTCAGCCTCTCTCTCCTCCTCTTCCTCCCACTCAACTCCTGCTCCTTTCTTGGCATCAGTTTTAATCCCAGGCCCATGCCAAGAACAGTCTTCCTACCTCCTCCAGCTCCTAGGGTGGGGACCCTGACAAGAGTAGTTCCACAGGCACAGCTTCCTTTGGCCACTCCACCTGTCAGGCCATCCATCAACTGTGTCCACATGCTGCCCGTCTCTAGGGTGTCCTGAGGGACGCTAACTAGCCATCTGTTCTCTCCTGCATGCAGATGGGGACCAGAGCTGTGTGGCTCTTCTCCATGGCCTGTTCGAAAGTACCCCTCAAGAGACACCCCTCGGGTTTCCCTCTCACATGGTATATGCAGGATGTTTGGCTCACACCTTCTTCATGTGTCCCTGTAGTTGCTAGACGAGGTTCCCTGGGGAGTAGAGGTCAGCCTCAGTGGTAGGATAAACTTGGGGTGTGACAGAAACCACTCAGCAGTCCTGAGAGAAACAACTTGTTCTGCCATTCATCCTTCCATCCACCTACCTGTTAAATCAGCATTTGTTGAGCACTTACTATGTACTAGGTCCTAGGGGCCAGCAGGGAAGCTCACATTGCCCCAGCCCCAAGAAATGCATAGTCTAGTAAAAGACCATGGCAGTGCCATTAGAACAGCTTAGTGACAAGGGCCAGAGCAGAGTACTGGGGAGCACAGAAGAAGGGCTTCAGGTATAGTCTTGGATCATCAAAAACCATCATCTGCATAGAAGAGGAGGAGTGGGGAGAAAGAGACAGGGGAAAAATATACTCACGTGAAGGTCTAGGAGTCGGAGAGAAACGGCACATTTTAGTAGCATTGTGACACATGGCGGCAGGGCAGGGGGATAATGTGAGGGGAATGAATGCTGAGAGAAACAGCAACAGAAGGAAGCAGAGACCAGGCCACGTAGGCCCCTGTGAGCCACACCAAGAATATGAACTGTAACCCAGGGCAGTGAAGACATTTCACCAAGGCATAACAGGAAGAATTCAGAGAATCTGGTGATATCTGGAGAATCCTTGAGGGCACAGATGGGGTTGAGTGGGAGGACTCATGGTGAAACGCTTGGGGTAGTCCTAGTAGAGTGGATGGAGGAGGTCTCGACCTGGGTAGGAGCACTGTGGTTGGACAGAGTGTCAGACCTCGGCCACTGAACTGGGTGTTCAGTCTTGGTGACTGCCTGGTGCGAGAGCTGAGGGTGACCAGAGGTCAAGTGTAACCTCTGGCTGGACAGGAAGATGCTCCTCCTTTCTTATTTTGTTTGTTTGTTTTTCATCTGGTATCAGGAATCGAACTCACGACCTTGCACTTGCCAGGCAGGTGCTTTGCCGCTGAGCTAAATCCCCAGCCCGTTCCTTCTTTCTTAGATGCCAGGTGTTTCCTGAGTCTGGTGAGGTGAGAGGAGGTAATGGTAGAGATTAGGATCATAAAACCAAGCCAGATCAAAGACCTCCTCCAGTTCTGTGAGTGTGGGTGGGAAAGTCAAGGCCCACAGAGAAGGTCAGGAGGCTGGGCTGGGTTTAGGATTCGTAAGAGAGGGAGGCAGCCCCTTCCATTTGTATGCTCAGTGGGCCATCCTAGGGGACAAATGAATTGTCCGGGCATGTAGGATGCTTCTTATGGGTTCAGAAAAGCCTACCTGCCTAAGCCCTGGCCAAATGTAGTTGTCCCCTGTGATAAAGAGCCAGAGGAGCTGGCCTATATGGGTCCTCTCCACAGAAAGCACTGCTTCCCTGCTTTTGAGGATGTATAAGAGGGGACAAAGGATTTTTTTTCTTTTGAGACAGGGTCTCACTATATAGTTCAGGCTGGCCCTGAACTTACTATGTAGTACAGGCTGGCCTCAAATCCATGGCAGTCCTCCTGCATCAGCCTCCCGAGTGCTGGGTTTACAGGTATGCACTACCAACAACTGGCCAGCAGATTTTAAAGGAAAGTCACACTCCTTCCAAGACAAACCTAGCCTCTTGCTGGACCCTGGGGTTTGTAGTCAAAGGCTTTAGGGCTGTCAGGTTCCTTAAAAGCCTGTGGTTTCTATCTAAACTATTTCTACCCTTGGGGGAATCTGGGAGGGGTAGGTAACAGTGAAAAGACCATGGGTTTGGGAGCCAGTAGTACCTGGGTTTGAGTTTTACCAAAATTATCAAATCTTCCTGAGCCTCTGTGTACTTTATTCCCTCAATAAACACTGACATCAACTTAAGGACCAGCTACTGTGCTGGACAGTGCGGAATAAAATAAAATATAATAAAATAAAATATGAACTCTCCTTGAGGGAGCCAGGTAGCATAGCTGCTATCACAGAGGTCTGTACAGGTGCGTGAAGCAGGGAGGAAGAAGCAGCCGGTTCTGCCCTGTAGAAGAGATGGCAATCGGGAAAGGCCTCCTGTTACAGGTGGCCCTTGATCTCCATAAAATGGACATATTCTGTCCGCTCAGAGTTGGAACAGGTTAAATTGGAAAGGACACATGCCCAGTTAACTCCCAGTGAGTTATCTAAGAAGGACAGAATTGGAAGCTAAAAGAAGACTTTCTTTTCTTACTCTGTGTGGGTTTACTTTGTAGGTTTTAATAAAATAAGTGTGTTTATGGAGTAGGTGAGATCACTTATGATCAGGTCACTTTGGCAGGTAGTAAAATGCTTAGGAAGACGAGTACTCTTCCCCCTGCCTGGTCTGTAAAGCCGTCCAGGGCTGGTAATT